AATTGCAATATGGCTTTGTTTTCCCTGTTTATTTCTTTTTGTTTTCCTGCAACTTTTCATATACTACCAAGTCTGATCTGTTACCTCTTTGGTTGAACTGTATAGGCTTCACAAGTTGACTGCTCCAAGAAGTCCTGGAAGAAAGGGCCGAATTGAGACGGCATCTTAAAAAATGGAAAAATAAAGCAGAGCCAAACGGGTTGGCTGGATGTGCTAAGCTGTTAATACCCGAGCTTTTGTATACCTTCCGTTTGCGCGAGGTTAATGGTAGGGAGTTTAAGTAGAGTAGGGTAAGAGTTAGAGTGAGGTTATTATTTCTTGTACATTATCTTTTATGAAGGAGTTTGAAAGTGGAGGACTAAACTTGTAAGGTAATTTGCATTTGACTTAGAGTACCCTTATTGTTGGTCTGGCTGAGCTTTTTTTGTTGTCGTTTACCCCCCGCCCCGCCCCCACCCCCACCCCACCGAATACATATTCCTCTTTAACTTTTGTCTAGGGGTGGCAGAATGGTGGCCTTAACAAATTCATTCAGCGTAATTGTTAAGCATATGTGAAGTTCAAATACACAGATTTTGAAAAACTTCTTTGTAAATAACATTCCCATTAGAATAAGTGTTTTCCAACAATTTGTCTGTATGCTCCAATGCATTGCCTTTTGAATCACATGTCAATATTTTTTTATGTGCAGTGATATAGTTAATCACCTTATACAGCAAAAATCAATATTTTGACTAAATTTCAAATTAGAACCCTTAAAACAAATTTCCAAACTATTACTCCATGCGTCCAACTTGAAGCGTTTTCTCTAAGTTCTTCAGTTGTGAGAAAAAACCAGCATTAGGTTCAACTCCACGCCTTTGTCTTCTCACATGTTCCAAAGCTTGAGCTAAGCTTATACCGTTCTTTTTCATAAGGTAAGCCAATACTATAGTCACACTGTCACACATAATAATGCACTTGTCTCAGTTTCTTAAATTGGTGTACAAGGATTTCGAATGTTGTAATAATTGAACTAATAAAAACATGATTCCAAGGCATAAAACTGATTATGTAGTTTATAAGCCAACAAACCGATCGCAAAAAAGACACCAAATTCAATAAAAAGTGAAAGTTAAAAGAAAACAAAGTTGTTCGGTTTAAAGAAAACTACTGATAAGCACAGAATTTAGAAGTCCATTATTTATAGAAATTAAAAAAAACTACTAAACCTTGTAGGAGTTCGAAATATGAGATGCCTAGTGTGAGAATGATTACCTTCGGGACCTGCCCATAAAACAATGAACCAAGACACCGCCACTTCTCTTAGCTTCATCAATGAATTGAAAACACTCTTCAAAATTTTGTGATATGTCTGCATCTGCTCTATCTGATACTGTATACATTTATAATTTAGCACAATTAATTAACAAGAGAAATCAAGGTGACATTGTTTTAAAAAAATGATACTCCAGCATCTAAGTTTTTATTAAGAAACCATTGGCCGTATTAAGTTTCGCTAAGTAACTATTGGCCTTTTAAGTTTTCCTGGCATTGTTCTGAGGAACATAGTGTTCCATGGAGACAAGGGACAAAAAGTTTGAACTGCTGGTTTAGTAAAAATATTACTCCCTTGATCCACGTTTAGTTGTCCACTTTCAATATCCAATAGAGAAATTATGATGAAATATCTAAAAGATCCTAGATTTATGGTATGAATGTTCTTAACATCGAGGAGGGATAGATCGTTAAGGACTTCATTGAAATTTCAAATTCATTTCTTAAAAAATGAGAATTTTTAAAAAGTGGACAACTAAATGTCTAAATCGAGACAGAGGGAGTATTTTATAATCCCTTCATCCCAAATCGATATTCTATGTGAAAAGGCCACAGAGACTAAGAGTGGAAGGAAATATATGTACATGCCCCTACCTACTTTTTGGGTAAAATAAAAGGTGGTGAATATGCATATTGTTGAGGATAAAACTATAAAAGTATCTTTTTATTAGAAAGAGGCAAAAAGTGTATGCCAAGAACAAGGGAAGGTCATTTTGGGAAGGTCAAGAATGGGAAAATGAGAAGACCATTTTGGGACATAGAAAGTTTTCACACTGGTTGTGTTTTAATTTCAGTGAAAAGAAACTATAATCCACTTCTGATGGCTGCAAGAGTAGTAGAAACCAAAAGAGCTAAATGTGGAAAAAGACATGAAATAAAGTGAGAAAGTCATACCGCTAATAACCTTATACACAAAATCACTTGGATATGGGGGGGATAGTGAATTGGCAACCATCAAGACATGTGTAATATTCAAACTTTTCAACGTGCTCCTATTCATAGCAGCTCCAACAGATCCCAAGTAAAGACCCTAAGATTAAGAGGTAACAAGTTCCTATTATGGAAGAACGAAAGGACAAGCGTGCAGTTTATATCTCAGCATGATATAAACATTTCACCTATTTGTTACCTCTTCAATTTTGCAGGGAATGCTATCTCTTTTTAAGTACGCTATTTTTTGCATCACTGGCAGCAGAGCTTCATGCCTTTCCATCGCTGGATCCATCTGTAGAAAATGGAGCTGAAGTTTGACAATCCTTTCATCCAAAAACAAAAGGTGTAAAGGACACAAATGGCATCATCAGATTCAGAGGTTTATATGTGCATCACAAGATTTGAAAAAAAAAAAAACTACATTGCATACTTGTCTGTTTTGGTTAAACACCACGGCTTACTTTCATCTGGTGAAACATGAATAGTTTTTAAATCTTAATTTAGATTCGAGCCTAGACTCATTTGCAATAGCTGTATTCAGAGGCAACCAAACAAGACACTACTAGAAATTGCAGTGTGACTACAAGTCTAGAACCAAAAGACCTTATACTATGAATCAGAAACATGCAATATTGAACAAGAAACACACAATTGGATTCTTTTATTCTTTGACTCTATCAACAGCTTTATGCGAACATCGAAATTCAGATCAAAGAATGATATTCAAATAACATCGGGGACTATGCCAAAATCCATAGACTAAATCTTTATACAGAATTTTTCCAATAGCCATTCATAACGTCTAAGAAAAGAGGCAAAATGATTGCGGAGTAGTAAATTCCTCCGTATAAGAATTTATCGTGTTTTTATCTGTGTTTAGTTTTCCATGTAGTCACAAATTCAGAGTATAATTGATGTATTTGTGAAATCTAATTTTATTTTAGAATTATTGACATTCGTATCTATATCTTAAAATTTGTGTTGGAAAAATCACCTCAATTTTCTAGCGGAAGCAATTAATAATTAATAATTTTCCCATCTTTGTGTTGTCAAATGGGCAAAATCATATGATCGATCAAGAATAGCAAACATGACAACACGCAATCAATCAAACGATAAACGAACACCAAGATTTAACATGGAAACCCCAAATAGGGGGAAAAACCACGAAGCCTTCCACTAATCACCAAGAAAATCAGTGGGTACACCAAGAATCTTCTCTAAATCAATTAGAGGTACACACAATCATCAACTAATAACTTGGAACAATAATCTTCACTAAAAAGTGAGAAATCCCCAATAAAAACACAACAGCAAACAGAGGCAGTTTTACCGAGGTCAAAACAACAATCCCACCGTTGGACATGAAGAAGAGGATGTGAGGAACAACATACTAAAATTTCATCCCAATGGAAGCTCGTTTGGTCAACGATCGGAGCACAAAACCAGGCTGCACCTCTCTTTTTCTCCCTTCTTCCTTCTCTCGGCTCTCACCCCATTTCTTCTCTGTTTTGCTGCTGCCCTTTCTGCCGTAAGAAGCCAAAGAAATAAAAGGCAAAGCCCTTTTCAAATAAGTGGCAGCCCATAGGAAGTGGTAGCCCCCACCACTTTGACAAATTCCTTCTTATATAATAATAATAATAATAATAATAATAATAATAATAATAATAATAATAATAAATATTATTATTATTATAGTAACCAACTCTAAACCAATTACATTTTAAACACCCCAACACTTACAATGCACCTTTACACAATGACATAGTGTAAAAGTACCTTAACTTTTTCAATTAACAATACTTCAATTATACCTGCATTAAGTGAAAACAATCATATTAGAATTGAAAAAATCGTTAAATAATAGTGTGTAAAAAAGTTAACTATGATTTCAATGAAGTCTTGTTCTCCACGGAACGCCTGCAAATTTGTTAGCTATGAATTCAATGAACACAGTTCTAATGCAACAAGAAATCATCATTTACATATTTAATCTCATTGTTTTTCCCATAGAATACGATAAAACTATTGAGTTAAAAGTATAAATCACTGATTAAAATTTTTGAAAAAAAAGTTCAACTTGATTTCAGCAATTTTAAACATCCAAAATTGAAAACGAACAACAATTACCATAATAGTAACCACATAGATCTAATCTGAGAACAGAATATAATGAAAAAAATATGAGAATAGCGAGTCCTGGCACCAAAATTCCACAATAAAACAATATTAAATAAATGAAAAAACAGATTTGAATCAAGGAGAGGCAGAATAACTACGATCGACGGTCATTGAAGGCTATGAATCCCTCAAATAAACGATCTGTTTAATATTTTCCTGATCGTAGCAATATGATACTCTACTCTTTTAAACACTCCCCTCAACATTTCATAATTTTTATTCTATAAACTTTAATTTCTTTCAATTTTGTTATGTAGTATTTCTTCGTATTTTTCTCAAATAAGCAAAAGTCAACGTTTTTGTCTGCGCTGGAGTTTGAACTTGAGTGAACTTCTCCATTAATTTTAGAGAGTATGCTTCCTACCACTCAAACGATGGGAGAAGTTCACTTCAATTTCTATTTACTCAATTAGAGAGTATATGATATATTGTGGTACTAACAATATCTTCACATCTACTATTGTTATTCATATTTTCTACACAGTATTCTCTGTTCTGAAATTTATGTTTATTATTTACAAGATCAAACTAAATTTACTTTTTTTCTTATTTTTGTTGCTCATTTTAAAAAATTATAGAACCATGTCACATCTTGTTGCGAATATGTACGTGAATCAAGTTTACTTTTAGGCGTTATGATATATAAAGTTTATTTTTTAATCCTGCTCCAATTATAGAATAAATTACATTGAAAATAATTTCAGTCAAATGTCGTAAACAAAAATGTGCATTTTAAATTGGGATGAAGGAAATATAATTTTATACTCCCTCCGTCCACCTAAGATCTTCCCATTGCGCGTTACGAGGCTTGACCGACTTTATTTTAAATTCGATTTATTTGAATATAGGGATAAAATTTTAATGTAAAATTTATGTAGTAATAAACTACATGAAAAGTTCTACAAAACTAGAGGTGACAAGACTACATTATTTTGTAAAATGAGTAGTAAAAATAAGCAAACAAAGTG